GCTTTCCTCGTATTTTTGCTCCTTTTATCTACTGATTAATAAAAACGCATAACTGTAAACTCACGAAGAGCAAGATAGAGTATAATTAGGATAATACTTGATTACAAAATTCTTTAGAGAATGTAATAAGGCCCAAAAATTATTAGAAGGGACCAACTGATTGTTATACGTCTCTATCATCTTTTATTTTCCCTGACACCAATTTATAATCTCCGTACTTATCACTTTATTTCCAATAAACTACATTAATTCCCTGTTTTTACTTATCTAGGCTTGGTGGTGAACGGCGACTTCGAGACTCCACCGTCGAACGGGTTCCCTGATGACGCCGTTGTCAATGACCCGTCCGAGATCCCGAGCTGGCGATCGGACGGTACCGTGGAGCTGATCAAGTCCGGTCAAAAACAAGGCGGGATGATCTTGATCGTCCCTGAAGGTCGTCACGCCGTTAGATTAGGAAACGATGCAGAGATCAGTCAAGAACTTACGGTTGATAAAGGTTCGGTCTACTCGGTCACGTTCAGTGCCGCACGCACTTGTGCACAGCTCGAGTCTCTAAATGTGTCTGTGGCTTCGGATGATGATCCGATCGCAGCGTCGCAGATCATTGACTTGCAAACGTTGTACAGTGTTCAAGGTTGGGACCCATATGCATGGGCGTTTGAAGCGGAGGTTAATCGAGTCAGGTTGGTTTTTAGGAACCCTGGCATGGAAGACGATCCTACTTGTGGTCCTATCATCGACGACATAGCCGTTAAGAAGCTTTTCTTTCCTGATAAACCCAAAGGTAACGTAACGTTTCTGTTTTATAAATCTTTCGATTTTACGATAAAAAGATTTCGATTAATTGTTGTGTTTTTACAGACAATGCAGTGATTAATGGAGATTTCGAAGAAGGTCCATGGATGTTCAGGAGCACGACGCTTGGTGTTCTGCTTCCGACAAACCTAGACGAAGAAATATCGTCTCTTCCCGGCTGGACGGTCGAGTCGAACCGGGCAGTTCGGTTTATCGACTCGGACCACTTCTCGGTACCTGAGGGAAAGCGAGCTATGGAGCTTCTATCGGGAAAAGAAGGCATAATTTCTCAAATGGTTGAGACAAAGGCAAATGTTCCGTACAAGATGTCTTTCTCATTGGGACACGCAGGGGACAAGTGCAAGGAACCTTTGGCCGTAATGGCGTTTGCCGGAGACCAAGCACAGAACTTTCATTACATGGCGCAAGCGAACTCAAGTTTCCAAAAATCGGATTTGAATTTCACCGCGAAGGCCGAACGTACGAGGATCGCCTTCTACAGTGTTTATTACAATACGAGGACGGACGATATGAGCTCCTTGTGTGGACCGGTGATTGATGACGTAAGGGTTTGGTTCTCCGGGTCTAGTAGGATTGGATTTGGGAGGTTTCCGATTTTCCTTCTTCTCACATTGTTTTTTATTATCTAAGAGTTCCGGTATAGATTTCGGTGGAATGTTCATAAAATGTATGAGCAGACCGGTATCCTAATGTTGTATGGGTCATGTGTCGGTTCATGCTACTAAAAATGAGAAAGTAATTATCTATTGTATCATATGCAATCCATGGTCGAATTTGAGACGCTTAGATCAATCAGACTTCCGTATAACGTTCTGATTCCAATTTATCTATCAATTTTAGCACAAAATTAAATGTTCTTGAATTTGGATTTAGGAGTATGCATTGCAGCTTACTGAAGGTGCTACATGATATCGAACTTCATATTAATTAACAACAAAAAATGCATACACACTTTGGTCTAAACAAATCAGACTTTATATTCCCATTATTTTTTTTATCTTTTTTTGGCCAAGATAAAAATGTAAATAGGTTTCACATCTTTATATCAAAAGGGTCAAAATTTCATTGATACAAAGGCCCACACCAACTTGGATACCATAGAGGTTCAAGTCATTTGCTAAAAAGCCTAAGACATAAAAAGTCAATATAAAGGAAAAGCCCAAAAAAGAAAAGAGAGCAAATCAAAAAGAGCTAATCAAGACGACGACTCTGATATCGATTTCAGTCTTCACTTAGCATCGGCGCAAGGCATTCCGGTTCACCTTTGGTAATGTAGGACTGATAACGCTCTCTAGTTACACTAGAAGCTAATTCCAATGCTGGCTTATTCCCATTTATCGCGATGTGGTTGATTTTCCAGTCATTAAACTTCTCCAAACCGTTGTGAACTTCTTGTAGGAGAGTTTGGTACATAGGAAACTTTCGACTATGTAAGATTGCATCAACCACAAGCTCCGACGATGCTTCAAAGATCATTTTCTTGAAGCGCAAGGTGTATACATTGTCAACAGCCTATTGAAAACTTAAGAGCTATGCTTGAAGCTCAGTACCAATCTGTGAATATGAACGTCGATTGTGGAATAGAGTTCTTCCTGAGTGATCCCGCAGTAGCCACGCTTCACCACAGTTTCGCTGTGGTCCTTTCCAAGAAGCACTAATGTTACACTTGAGATACCCGAGTTGAGGTCTAATCCAAACGCTAGGCTCCGATCTCGTGAATTGACCAGCGCCTCAATAGTTCCCATTCAGTGGTTCTTCTAGGTTGTTAGCGACTAACCATGACTCAATATCCTCTTGCGCTTCTCTAGTATAGAATTCACATTATACCGAATCTTTTTGAAGACCGAAGCATTCGTTGCTTTCCACACATGCCATGATCGAGGGGGAAAGTTTGTGCAAGAAAACCCAGGAGAAGTTGTTTGCCTCTCCACTTTAAAATATGGTATAGGTTCATGAAGCAAGAGTTTTGAAGACCCAAATATTTTATTTATATGATATTAACATTTTTAGCCAAAAAAAAACGACTTTATATATAAAAAAGACATTATTATACTTGAGAGGATGGAATTAGATTCCTATTTGTGGGCTTAAGACTTTTGGTTACAAAGAGAGGCTTTACTTTTTCTTAATTGTCGAGCTTTGGCTTATTTGCTTTTGAGAAAGGTTGCGTGATTTGTTTCTGTTCACCAAATAAAGGGTTTATTTCTGGGTTTGTGTTCTTCAGCTGTCGAAGGATTTATCGAAGATTTTCTAGAGGAAGAAGAAGATTAAAGGCTTAGAAGTTGTTATGTGATTCTTTCGTGTTTGGGTGTGGTTTTTTTATTCGGTTTTCATTTGGGTGATGTCATCGGGGATTGATAAGATTCTTATGGAGTTGACTCTTCAT